AGCCATACCGACGAGGAGTGGCGACAGCTCAATACAACAAAGACACAAAGAATAAGATGGTTTTCTGCAGCAATTGTGGAAAACGTGGACACGTTAGACGAGATTGCTGGGCTAAAGGAGGTGGAGCAGAAGGTCAAGGTCCATCATTTAAACAGGTCAGTACCAAAGACCATAATGAAAATTCTCAAGAGAAGACGTTGACTGAAGCACAAGTCCGTCAGCTCATTGAGGGAATTATGCGTCCGCAATAGGAATTAGCGGCCCCCTGTATTAGTAAGAAAAAAGACAATCGCCTTTTCGTTAATGCATTAATAGGGGGCCACCCATGTGATGTTTTGGTTGACACAGGCGCCTCAATTTCAATAACAGATTTGAACCTACCTACAACAGATGAAACTATGGAAGTTGAAGGTGTTGGAGGTGGTATCACAAAATTTCGCAAAAGTATTCAAGTTCCACTGCAAATACATGAAGATGAAGTCTTATGGACATCTTTTTGGGTGGGACCGAATTCACAAGGAAGCCTAATTGGCATGGACATTCTTCCATTGTTAAACATGATCATATTCACTGACAGTCGTCATATCGCCACAACTGCTGGGATAATACCACACGAAGATCGCACATGTAATCTAAGGTCTGTTGGTGCAGCAAAACCAATTATCAGGAACTGGACAAAAGATGGTGTGTGGGGTCTTCTATGCAGTTTGTATCCAGATGTTTGGGCTAAACACAAACTGGATTGTGGTAAAGCCAACATTGACCCCATTGTTATTGAGGGACCGACACATGCCCCTCATAAACAATACCCTATCAGACCTGAAGCAAGACAAGCCGTAGAGGAGATAGTGGCTGACTTGGAAGCTGAAGGTATCATCAGACAAACGTCATCTACCACTAATAGTCCTGTCTGGCCTGTCAAGAAATCAGATAACTCATGGCGATTAACCATTGATTATACAAGACTTAACAGTGTAACACCAAAACCGCATCCTATTGTAGCCAATCCTGCCACTATTCTGAATGATATTCCAGGAAATGCTAAAATTTTTACGGTACTGGATGTACTGTCTGCTTTCTGGTCTATACCTATAGACAAAAGATCTCAAGAGAAATTAGCCTTTACAGTAGGCGCAAAACAATATGTTTGGAACAGACTCCCACAAGGTCTTAATATTTCTCCTGTTGTATTTCATAGAGCTTTGAACCAGTTCTTAACGGAGCAAAAAGCTGAAATTGAGAAATCAGGAAGTGTCTGCCTCCAATATGTTGATGACTTGTTGATTGCAAGCCCAGATGAAAGAAGCCATATATTTGCTCTGAATGTTGTCCTACAAGCCCTTAGGAAAGGGGGATTTAAAGTTAACCCCGACAAAGCACAGCTGGCCAAATCCAAAGTTATCTATTTGGGCCAAGAAATATCTATGGAGGGAAGGAGAATGACAACAGAGCGTGTAGAAGCATTACGACAACTTCCAAAACCTCTAACAGTTACAGGAATGCGGAAGGTGATGGGACTTTTCAACTATTGTCGTCAGTATATACCCGATTTTGCTAGCATCACCAGCCCTCTCATTGACCTGTACAAGGGAGGAAAGCCGGGAGTGGAACAGATTAACTGGACACCAGAAGCTGAGGAAGCGTTTACTTCTATGAAAGAAAAACAGACTTCAGCTCCAGCTTTGGGACTTCCCGATGGACGATTGCCGTTTCATTTGTGGACCAGTGTAGGAGATGAGACGTATTCAGCAGTACTGTGTCAAAAACCAGGTGATCGATACAGACCAGTTGGATACTTTTCCACAAAGATTCCTGTCACTATGATTGGGCAACCACGATGTATACAAGCTCTCGATGGTGCCACATGGGCAGTGGATGCTGTTGAGAATCTGATAGGAGCACAAACTATCATATTGCACACTCCACACAGTATAGTGACGTTGCTGAACAACACAAACATCAAGACCATTACTGATGCAAGGAGAGCAAAATGGGAAGCTACTTTGTTGAACAAGGATTTGAGAGTGGAAATCATCAGAGACACGTCTCTTAACCCTGCAACAATGATGCTGGAACCACATGAGGGAACACCACATGAGTGTGTAAAACAAGTACAAGAAGATAGCCTTGGTCCTGTTAATCCAATCCCTCTTGAAAATCCAGACAAGGAGTTATGGGTTGATGGATCCAGTTACTATGTTGATGGAAAACGACACACTGGATGGGCTGTAGTGCAAGCTGATGGAACTGTTGTGAAGAAAGGAGCTCTTCCTGGCAAACTTTCAGCACAAGTAGCCGAGCTCATAGCACTTACAGAAGCTCTTGAATTATCTGAAGGAGAACGAGTCAACATCTATACAGATAGTCGATATGCTTTTGGTGTGGTCCATGACTACCTTGCCCTGTGGAAGAGACGTGGACTCATCAACAGCAATGGGAGCGAAATACAACATGCTTCCATAATTCGTCGCTTAATTACAGCATGTCACTTACCTAGAGAAGCAGCCGTGATCAAAGTGAAATCTCATCAATCTGACAAGTCCAAAGAAACTCAAGGAAACACGGCAGCAGATGCAGCAGCTAGAGAAGCAGCTCTACTCCATCCTACTCCTGTTACCCTGGTAAAGGAAAATACCAAGGATAATCCTGAGCTCCATCTTCTGTCATATCAATTGGAGACAGATGAAGAGAAAGAACAATGGATAAAAGCGGGAGCGAAAGAGGATGATCAAGGAATCTGGAGAATTCCAAAAGGACAAGTAGTGATGCCTATCGGAACAAGAAGAGAACTAATGCAGCTGTATCATGGAAAAGTGCATGCTGGAGCAAAAGCAATGAAAGCTCAAATCAGTGAAACTTGGTGGTGGCCAAGAATGATGAGAGACATTGATGATTATTGTAGAAGATGTTTGATATGCCTCAAAGCAAATGTGGGAAAATCTGTAAAGGTGCGAATGTCACATGCACCTAGACCAACAGGTCCGTGGACACATCTCCATATTGATTTCACAGGACCTTTATCACCTAGTGGAGGGTATCAATATATACTTGTAATCATGGACAATAATAAGAAAGCGCGAGAAGCTCAACAGCAATGGGATGAAAAACACACCACTACTGACATTCCACACATTCCCGAGATAGGCAGTTTTGTTATGATCAAACGAATTGCTAGGAAGGGTTTAGAGCCTAGATGGGAAGGACCTTATGAGATACTCTTAACATACAAGTGTTTGTCTCAAAGGGAAGGGTGTAGGAACAGATAGATGGTATCATTGGTCACAAGTTAAACCTTGCTTAGTGAATAAACAAACTGTTGAGACTGAGCAATGTTCATCGATTAGTTTTAAAGATTGGGAACAAATAAGTGATGCTAACTATTTTTCTGCTTCCATTTCAGGAATCAATTCCATTGACATTTATTAAAGATGGTTGCAAGTTATTATGTATTCCTTACAAAACATTACCTCACAAACAATGAACACCCGCTTACTGATTCTCAACCCCAAGGGATAGGACCCTTTAACATCAACGTTTATTTTAATTTCTTATTTTGGCTCGGAACTGGGGGATTTAATTAGTTACGAGTTAATTAATTAATGAGTCCAGGCACGAGCAGAAGAATTATTAGTTTTTTATTTTCTTAGATGATTGGGGTTCATTTTAAATACATACACATAGATATTAAAACACACATAGTATACGGGGACATAACACGGGTTGGGGTTTTGTTCTTTTTGTTCTTTTTGTTCTTTTTGTTCTTTTTGTTCTTTTGTTCTTTGTTTGTTTTTCCTTTTCTGTTTCTATTCTTCTGTTCGTTCTGTCTATTTTCTTGGTCTGCTATTTCTTCTCCTCACTATCACTTCTATAGGTTGGCCACCTGGGGATGATGGTGTGGAACTTATGGCGCCATAGTTCCAGTGGAGGGAGATGAAGACTAAAATTTCATCTTTTAATATTATTTCATTATTAAATATTATGTATCTGTATTATTATTCTTTATTAGTTTTCATGATCACTGTATTATCCTTTTGGAGTTTCAAAAAGCATGAGTTAAAAGCATGAGATGAACATATGTCAGGGGAAAGCTATATATTGCTCAGAGAGGTATGTGTGCCATGTAACATGTTCACTCAGCATAAATGTTTCCACTGATGCAAGTGTACCACAGATGTACACAACAAGGAAAGTAGCGCACGTATGACATTTACGTTCTAAGTTGAGAAGCTCAGAGCAACATGTTTGTTACCTTACAAGGAAGCTGTAAGACTGTGTGATGTATAAAAACTAAATGTCACATTGTACCACCCTTAGAGAAACATGTAGGCATGACCGGGTGAGAGGGTAGAGGAACATGGAGAAACGCATAGACCAGGCATGAACACAACATCTTGAAGTTTCTCTCCTGACATATATATAATATATAATAAAACTTTCTTGGCAAGATAACTGGTGTCCGGTCCCGTAAATTGAATAATAACGGGGAAACACAAGAGGCTTTAATTCCAAGTCTACACCATCAATAATTAGATCAAATTGAAATAAAGGAATATGTCCAGCCCATAGTCTGAAAATATCATCGTAAAATGAGTCTAAATAAACAGTATTAAATATTGACAATAATGCAGGAGGAAGTTCCTTTACGCTAATAGTCGGAGCATGATGTGACGACATGCGGAGTGTGATTGCCTATTGCAACAATAGAAACCGGGAAGTCCAAACTGAGCCGTTTTGGCAGCTATATAAAGCAGCTATTTTATATAAAAGGAACTATTTTATGTAAAAAGGATTCAATAAAAGCTTGTTTTAAGATCAACAAGTAAGTTTTGAGTTCTAAAAGTAGAATGTTTTAGAACAATGAACTCTTCTTTCAAAAGATTAAGGGAAAAGGGAAAATTAACCCCCTTGAAAGAAAAGACAAAGACAGAATTAAACAACGGTAATGGCTTTTCATTGTTGGATGTCATGCTGAAAAACCCCAAAAAACAACAGCAACCAACCTTGTAGGCATTGATCAGCCAATCAGGCACTGGCACTCCATGTGACAGCAGCTTGTTGATGACAGAACGGTGATATTGAGCATTCTGTGAGGGATACTTCTCCAAATAATGAGCTAAAAGCCGCCAAGCTTCATCTGTTGCGCTGTGTGGAGAGAAATTCAGTTCAAGAAGACATGTAGCGGAGTTCATCATAATGATCAAGATCAGAGTATTTTAACAAACCTGGACTCTTTAGTAGTAATAATAGTTGGCAGCTGATTGGCAGCAAGCCAGTTCCACACCTCTGTCTGGTCCTGATCACCTTTATATTGCAGTTTGATACACCTACACAGAGAAAAAAAATCTGCACTTCGGAAATCGGAAACTGATTTAAAATGGCCAGACACTGGATAGATCATAACATACTTGAATGTCAGTCCCTCAAAGACGGGTGTAAGGGATAAGTTAAAGGTCTGACACAGCGTCAGGGATGTGTCAAAAAGACCTGTTTGGACAAGCAGGGCAACCATCTCTTGTGAAGACGCACCTCCTGTAAGAGAGATAACACCAGTATTAAATAAACCTTTCAAAATACCCTAGTTGACACTATTGGGAAAAATGTTCAGTTTCCATAAGCTGTAGTGAAACAACCTGATGGCCAGGGTCCGAAATTAACACCCGCCAAGTGGCAATTGCAGGGAGATTTTCCATTTGACGAGTAAAACTCAAAAGCCATTCCCCCCTACTGGTGGGTGAATGTTCATACCAAAACAGTAATGTAATAAAATGTTTATTACAATTGCATTGTGTAAATGTTAAATAATATAGCTGGCATGATGGCTATGGGCATGAAGGAGTTGTTGTGTTTGCGGCATGGATATTTGAAAGTGACAGGGCACAACAAAAGAACGAGCAGAGAGAGCCTCGGTCGTACGCGCACTCTTCTCTTCGGAGCCAGGCGAAAGTATAAACAAGGCTTCACCGTCTCTGAAGCACCGAATAATCCAAATAAATCGACACGATGGTAAAAGGTCGGACCATAGTTTCACGTGGAGCATTCGGATATATTTTTTCGTTAATTACCGCTGGGTGTGAATTGTGCTAAAATACTGAAAATACCTTTTTTTCTCTGAAAAGCGTTCCGCACATTCAGCTGACATAAGTTAAACCACACTTTAAATAAACGTAAAAACCTATCCAGTTATGAAATGATTTCTGTGTTGACACATATCTTGTGGGGTGTCCTAGCTGCCTGCCGGAATAATCACACGACGCGTATACACATCCGATAATGACACGTCCAGTTCGCGAACTAATGACTCCTTTGAACCGATTCATTTTAATGAATGGTTAAACAACTGATATTTCCAGTCCTTCAGTTACTGATCGGATCAGTCAGAGTAAATGGAGTAAAAAAATAGAGTAAAAAAATAGAGTAAAACTAAATATTTTTTAAAAATATTTATAATATATTATTATAGCATATATTTTATTAATGTACAACTAATACATTTCATTTTACAGAACTATTTTCATAGGCACCACACTTATAAATTAATGTATATGTGACGCAAAAAGGCTGTATTATTTTTCCCCGTAAAAAATATGCTTAGCTGGTGTATTTTTTCATTTACCAGTCCCCATGGCAGGTGCGCCGAAAAGTTAATTTCAGACCCTGCTCGATGGCACATAAAAATGTAAAAAATTCATAAATGAGGGCATGTTCATAACGAATCTTCATTTAAACAGCATTTAGCAGTATTGTCTGCTTTGGAGTAAGTAACCTTTTTTTTTTAAACTGAGTTTAAGAAAATCTTTCTCCACTTCAATTGTCTCAGGCACATTTCCACTTATTCATAATGACAAAATAATAATAAAAATAATAATCTTACTTTAAAACAAATTACAATAATATTTATGGCCGCCTAATTTCTTTGCTTTCACCAAACTCAGCGGAGAGAGATGGAATGTTTGTGAGCAGCAGCCACTGATCTATATAATGACTGGATAGCTCATGACGTTCGAAACTGAAGCCACCGGAAGTGTTCGAGCAGCCATCTTACGATTCCCTACCAGCAGAGGGCCCAACGGCCGTTATACAGAGATAGTAGCTCCGACGGCACTTTTAAGATGACCCGCTGTGCATAAACAAGTGTAAAACGAAGTTCACAAAAGGATCTACAAAAAACTGCCCACAGGTTGTAATTTAAGCCCATATATAGTAATTTATATGCACAATTGTCACTATTTCCGTGTTGTTTAAAAAATGTTTATAGCCTACTATGCATTCTTTCACAGACCATTTCAAGTTTAAACCCAACAAACGTATTATTCAATGCATTACTTATTATTATTTTATTAAATGTATTTATTAATAATATGTTTTTGAAATGACAATCTAAATGTATTAATATGTGAAAAAGACTTCAATGGGATGCACTTTGACAACAATAAAACAAACAGCACACAAAGATCATGTGTCTATTCCATCTTCATCTTACACGCTAGATAAGTGTGCTTACCTGCGATAGCTGCTGAGGGGGGGTCCTGTTGTGCTAACGTTAGACGACTCCGGGCAAGAACATACTCTTTCTCCAAGTCTTTCAGCTCAAGAATGTCAATCTGTTGATTTACTGTGATCACATGACAAACAACTATAAAAACCTGCAGCTTTTAAAAAAATAAGATAGAACACTAGATTTTGCTAATAGTCATAAATTATTTTTTTAATTAACTGATTATTATTAGATGAATATATACCTACTTTTAACATTTCTCTTTAAATTTAGATCTCTCAAACCTCATTTCATAATGTGATAAATTGAAAGACTTTTGGAATGATTCATTAAGAGAACATACAATAAAGACACGCTAGTTTTGAATGACCAATATAATCATATTTAGGTTTTGAATGGGGAAACAAGAGCATAGTCCACATAATGTTAGAGGGTGTTTGGGAATTACCTGGACTTGCAGCAAATTCACCATCATAGTTCCTTTTTGGTGATGCGCCTGGTCGTTCATACTAGTCAAGGCATAAAATATTAAATAACATTATGATATAATACATTTTACAATTTTATATTATAGATGTATACACATACAGTACTGTGGAAGAGTGTCTAAAAAAGTCTATATGATTCACAAAACAACTTTTTTTTTCTTTCAATTTTTAAGGTGGTTATTTCTATCTTTTATTTTCCTGTGCCAGTAGAATGTCAATTTAGATTTCCAGACATTCCTTTTGTAAATGGATGAACCCTACAACAGATGTCTGACCACATAAAAACTTGACCGCACTAAATTAATCTAGGATTAACTAGAAAAAAAAAGTAGTAATTGAGTTTAAAACCGAGGAACAGTACAACTCTCCTAAATGCCTGGACATTTTAAAAACTGGACAAATGTATCCAGGAAAATTGGTGTTGTTTTAAAAGGCACAGTTTTTTCATTTGATTTAGGTAACTGTTATTTGCTAAAAAGTAGGCTGTCAAACGATTAATCGCGATTAATCGCATCCAAAATAAAAGTTTGTGTTTACATAATATATGTGGGTGCACTGTCTATAATTATTTTATATATATATAAATACACACACATGCTTTTATATAAGAAATATTTTCATGCATATACTGTATATAGATTTATATAATTTATATTATATATAAATATAAATATTTGTTTCTTAAATATAGATACATGTGTGTGTATTTATATATATACACCAAAATAATATACACAGTGCACCCACATATATTATGTAAACACAAACCTTTATTTTGGATGTGACTTATCGCGATTAATCGTTTAACAGCCCTACTAAAAAGTATTGATGTTATTCTTAAAAAAAAAAAAAAAAAAAACAAACAAACAAAAAAAACCCCAAACAAACTATTTTCATTTAAAAACAAAGAAAATATATAATCACTGCGCTCAACCAATTTTTTGGCTGCACTCGCTTGTGTTAAATTAAATTATTTAAAAAAATATAATTCAACAAAGCACATCTGGATCATTCAATTCAACTTGTTTGAGTTGAATGATCCAGATAAATGATTTAAAAATATAGACATTTTTAATAATTTAAAAAGGAAGACAAGTGAGTGCTGATTTTTTTTACTGAAGTATTTATTTACTCCACCCAAAGAATTGAAAAGGTTTTAGATGCCTACGCTGCTCCAGAAGAGGCTGCACAATCCAAGCATAGTCCGGATGAACAAGACGCAGGCAGTTGAGGGCAGCGAGGTAACAGTTGACCTGTTTCTGGAGACCGACGGAGAGTTCGCACCTCACGGCCCAGACGCATGCCGTACTCAAACATCACTGTACCGGCTTAAACACACATTTTATTGTTAGATTAAAGACCAACTTCAGGCCGAATCCTTGAAATAT